TCTCTCTCTCTCTCTCTCTCTCTCAGATATTTCTCTCTGTTTTTTCTGCTCTTGTCCATTGGATATTATAACCTATTTAGGGACTCCGTGTCCTTTTGTTGGATCTCCTTGGAGTTGATGTTGGCTCGTTCGAGAATGCTCATCAAATAAACAAATTGGCTACTGATCATGAATTATTCATAGACAAACAAACCATTAATTACTCCCATTGTGAATCGCCTTAGCTCAGTCTGTGCCTCGATTGTGTACAAATGTGTCTTTCTTTTCTTTCATTAAGGTCCATTGTATAGTAAGGAATGTACGCACTTCGGAACAATACGAGTTGATTATAATGCCACGGGTTTTGGTTGAATAGCCTTATTATTTCAAAAAACAAACGAGACTGAGCAAAGAGAACTCGAAACTGGAGTATTGACTGATAATCTTTTGCACTAAATTCAGTTTTTCGTCATCACGCACTTTTGTAACCAGTAGAATAACAGACCACTCGATAAAGTACTCAGTCCTATACTTGCTTATTCTCAACAAAAGAGGCACTCTTTGTGATCACGCTAGTTATATGATCCGTCCTTCTTGTCATTGAACGTTTGACCAGTGATCATCAAGAACAACTTGGACATCAACGATTCAAACGGTCAGCCATGCACTTATTTATTTATTATTTCTTGACTTTTATTATTTTAAACGAGATCCAGATCAATCTTATTCTTAAGAATTGATACGACTTTGTGCCCTCTTGTAGACTCCCTTTTACCAACTCTTTCCGCGCGTTTTGCCAGCGAGGCAGCTATAATTTAAATCTGAATCGTTCCTTGATGCTCTCAACGAGCTGCCTGTTGAATACAATATTGAGCATCTTAATCTGCAATGCTATTCTGCCTGTATATAACATACACACCTATTTTAGAAATCGTTGTCGCACCAAAAGCCTCAAGCAGCAAGCCAGGACCGCAGAAAACGCCGGTACTTTTAGCTGTAATTAGTTTATTCATGGTGCATTTTCATTATTTGACTTCACAAATTGCTCCAAGCAAGACTGCTTGAGATGATAATTAGTGTAGAGCTATAGCCGCTTGCATGAACCATGAATAAATCAATTATAATTAAAAGTACCGACGTTCTCTGGAGCCTTGGCTTGTTACTTGAGGCTCTTGGTGTGACAACGATTTTCGAATTAGGTGTATATGGCTATACTATTGTTTTGAAGAGCAGAACAATACAGACTTAATTAACATCAACATATCATGTTTTTTTACTTAATTAAAGATATAAAGTTAGTTTGTTGCTGTTTACAGTTAATTTGTTTTTCCATGATCAATAACTGAAGTGCACTGTTTAAGGATGATAGCTGTTTTCACTTTTTTTGCAAAAAAACCCAAATAACAAAAAACAACAACAACAAAACTAAAGACTAAAAAAAAAAAGAAGAAA